TTTATTTTTTTGAGATTCTTTATTAACTTTCATATAAAATGCCTCAGCCATTTCAGAACTTTACTTTTTTAGATTTATTATTCTTCGCATTTCTTTATTTCTCTTAATGACAATAATTTCAATCATTTTAATGATGAATCATTTTACTGAAATCATATATAACAATTTAACATACTGTATTAGCTAATATTGTATGATATTAGTAAAATAACCTGCTGGCAAATTGATTGTAGGCTAAGTTATATAGATAAGTATTTTCTAAAATTCTTCATGTAAAATATCTAAGCCCACTCTGGGACTTCACTTTTTTATTTTATTCCTCTTAATAACAATAATTTCAATCATTTTACTAAAATCATACATGACAATTTAATATATTATTAGCTAATATGATTAGCTAATATTGTGTGATGTTAATAAAATGATCTACCGAAAAATTGATTGTGGGCAATGTTATATAGATAAATATTTCTAAAATTCATTATTAACCTTCATAGAAATATCTAAGCCTATTCAGAACTTCTCTTTTTTAGATTTATTATCCTTTATTGTTTATTCTCTTGATGACAATTTTCAATCATTTTACTGATGAATCATTTTACTGAAATCATATATGACAATTCAACATATTATTATGTAGCTGTGTATATATTATTTATAATCATATTGTATGATGTTAGTAAAATGACCCATCAAAAAATTAATTGTAGGCAAAGTTATATATATGAATAAGTACGTACGCATTTTAATTATATTTTTTATTTTGGCTAATAGCAATTGCATTGTTGAGTTACAGGTTATGTCTGTTTTGCTAATAGGCTATATCTACGTAGCAACTTAATATATTATTAATTGTAAATATTATTCATAGAGACAATTTATACACCGCACATGCGCTGTTGCCGCATCCCTGCAGATCATAAAATCAGATGTAACGTAAAATCAAAACAACCAGTTTTATCGTTAGTTAAGGTTATGGTGAGGTTAGAGTAGTTTATAGGCTTGAAAAGAGGTTTTATAATAAAATTTTGAGAGAAATTTTTTTTGTTAGAACACGAAGAGTAGTTTCATATATGAAGTTTTGTGTTATAAACGATTTTTGACAAAGCGAACATTTGTTTTGAATTTTTCTAATTGTGCTACCTTACATCTGATCTTAAAATTTGATTGGTCGATCATGTGAGAGGCGGTAAATTAGCGACATCGCTGGGTGCGGTGAATAAATGTACTCTTATTCATATTATGGAATTTGAATAAAATTTCTTATCGGCAAATTGATAATACTAGTTTAAAGCAATATGAATAAGTAATTTAATTACTTTAATTTTATTTTGGTTTGTATCTACAAACCGAATAATGATTATGCTATTTAAATTTCAGGTTGTCAATTATTTTTCAACTGGTTATTTTAATGTGTATGACAGTTTAATGCATTATTTGTTTTAGGTACGTATGTATTTATTATTTATAATTTGCTATTTTTGTAATTTCAATAAAATTGCCTGTCAGCAAAATGATTGAATACGTATAACAATTTTATATATTTATTCCTGAAATACTGGGTTGGTATCCAGTTAACTAAGCCAATATTAAATAATATTAACCTTGCCTCTTATGTAAGTATTTTATAAGTTTGTTACTAGAATTTCAGACGATCTTTAACCAGTCAATCTCGATTTAACTTGGAATTTAAACTATATATGAGTCAGTGTTGGCTTGACCAGAGCAGTTCGACCAGTCTGGTCAAAGGATCTGTACTGATCAAATTGGTCAAATAGTATATTTAAATATAATTTATTGTATAATATACATATTATACTTATATAATAGACTTGACCAATTCAACAAATTGACCAATTTGACTAGCAAATTTTTGGACTAATTTGCCCAATACTGAAGGAAAAACCTGTCATCGACCTTCAATCGTATTTTGTACTGGACACAATCTCTAATAAATTAGATAGATTGTGTCTGGTACAAAATATAATTAAAAGCCGGATGACAGGTTTTTTCTTGGCTGCACACATCTAGATCAGTGTGTGAAAATTGCTCAACATATTAATCTATTCGATCTAAATAAACAATTTAGAAATTTGGGCTATGCAACAAAGTATTTCATACGATTTTTCTTATTCACTTTAGATTGATCTTTTTCTTTTTTATTTTGTTCATTTTTGTCATTTGATTTTCAAAGCCGATAAAATTTATCTGTAATCTTTGCATCTGATATCTCAGCTTATCTCTTCCACTTTAATTGACAATAATGCTAATTGCATCACTTATACCTCTAGGATAGAGGTATGAACATAATGCTGCAACCTGTAATTAAAAGTTACGACATTAAGTTCACATCTCTACTCCAAACTGATTCAACTAGTTTATTCATGTAAATTAATATTACTTAAAGGTCATATATATCTAGAACCTGAAAGTTTATATTATTATTCAGTTTGTTTTTATACGATATGCATCGTCAAACACATAGATCTAAAATGATACTAATATGTAATTCGAAAGAAGCTTTTACTGTAAGCTTTTTATTATTCACAATACTACAAAGGGAGTTAACGATTCATATTTTGTTTAAATTAAATAATGCATATTTTAGTTAATACAAATACCTTGCGAAAACACCCCAGTTTACTTTAGTCTGCGAGGTATATACATACTTAAGTATAGTTAGTGAAATGTTATATTTTAAAGGTATTTTGAAACATATAAATAAGTTATCCGGGCAATTGATTTGCATAGCCAATCAAACTTCTACCAGTAAGTAGGGTTTCGACAAAACTTCTTTTCAATTAAATTGAATATCGGGAAAATGGTTTTTCAAAGAGAAAGGATATCGATCAAATCTATAGTCGAGATATTGGTTTATCTATAAATTAAAGGGAGCTTTCAGCAAAATAGCCTGTCAAATAAACGGGTTATCAGTAGTATGGCCTGTCGGGAAAAGGGGTTTTTAAGATAAAGACATCGGGAAAATAGGATTTCGGGAAAATGGCTTTCGGAAAATTAAGAAATAACGCTAATTTATGTAGATCTATGCGTGACTATTGACCAATCAAATCAAATTAAAATTTTTTCAATACGCGAAATGAAGCGAAATAAATTTATTAATAACAAAAGCGAAGCTTTTTTAAAGCTAAAGTAATTCTAACCCATCTTTTAACTATTATACTTTACCAAAAACATGTTGTCGTATGTTACCACCCTTGGACTATACTATCAATTAGACCGCATCACCATTTTTACTATACAATAGAGATCTTAGTTTTCATATCTGTTTACATATATATGCTCTTTGTTCGAGTAAATACCGAAATAAGCCTTGTTAAAAGCTTTGCATTGCTTGACCTATTTAATAAATGTGTAAAATCTTATATTAGTATAACCTTCACGCTTTAACATTTTATAAATCTAAGATTCAGCTTAATAATTTAAACGTAGTAGAAACTCAATAAACTCTGCCAATTACCAAACTTTTACTTTTATTCTTATGAAAACTCCGTAGGGAAAGCGATTGAAAACGATTAGAAAAGATCTTCTGCTAGAGACACCCAAAACGAAGAAATTATACTAATCAACATGGGTACCTTAAGTTTAACTTATTGCTGGTAAATGGATCGTGAAATTGCCGGTTTTTAGACTACAATCATATATCAGATTTTCAATTGCCTATATAAATAGTTTGTGTAACAACATGTTCGGAATTTATCGGATGCGAGTTTTCCCTATGCTTTAATTTTATGCATCACTCTCTTTCGATGACACGCCATTCATGCAACGCAATCACGTTATATGGCTTGTCTATTTTACACTATCATTTTAATCCGTCACATTCATTATATGATATACACGTCAACCATATAACGCATTTATTAAACTGAGTCCCAAAAAACAATAAAACTAATATAATTATCACGTCAAACCCATCCCTTTTTACTGTTAAACTTCATCTCTTGTTATAAATAACTTAGTCAAATGATTTGACTCACGTTAAAGCCTATCATAACTACGTCATAAAATTAGGGTAATGTACGTATTATATATTAGTCAAGCAAAGAAACAATAATGAAAGTTTATACAAAGGCAAAATTTTTGCAACAATAGATAGTAGTAGCCTCCAAAAGTTTGTAATTTTTTTTTTAAATCCAGATTAGCGGGATTGAACATTAGATAAAAATTAGTAAGAAAAAAGGATGTTTATTCACAATACAATAATAATGTGTTAAATTTTGTTTTCTGTGTAATAATCATAGATTACATATTCAACCGTTTTGACCCGGTTGAACCGGGTGACCCAGTTTACTATAACCCGGTTCTAAACTCTACTAACTATTCATTCATCTTTGGATTTTTTTGATGGTTTTTCAGTCTCAGCTTCAGCTTTACGTTTTAATCCGAATGTTACCTTAAAATAATTTATACAATTTCAGTATTTCATTTAAACTGCATAAAATATATGAAACGCTAAAGATCTCTTACCTTTTCTCTCTCTGGCGCATTCATACTTTGACCCGTTAGCCCACCATTAACCGTAATGATATTAGGACTATTGGTTGATGAAGCACTAGAAAGTGATTTAGAAGTTCTTGCATCGTTTGGTACCATGCTTTGTGGAACTACACTAGAAAACAATTTTAAAAATTTCGAAATTAGTTGAAGTATCAATTGTTACCGTGGATATTCTATATTAATACCTACGCTCTGTTACCAACAGACAGAACCACATGTGCACTTCCACTAGCCTTTTGTCTTTCTTGCAAAGCAGTTGCCATGTTCAACGGTGTATCAACGCTGCTCATCGCTTTTAACTTACGTTCTTCTTCAAGTTTCTTGAGACGCTTCTCTGTTTTTGATTTTCCGGATGATTTTCCATGGAATTTATGAGATAACTGACGGAACGCCTATAAAATATAATGATAAATAAATAAAATTACTCTGTATTGTATTGAAGTACCGTGAATCCCAACAGGAATATGCACGTTATTTCGAAATTTTTTGAGCATGATCACTGCTATATATGGGTGCCTAAATTGCCTCTCTTAATAAAAATTATAGTTTGCCGAAATTATTCATAGTTGCCGAACTCTATATCAAAATACGTTAAACTATATAGTTGTTTTGAAAGCTTCATATAAAAAATATAATAATGTAGAAATACTTTCCGACATTAGCATTTCTCAAGAATTATTTAAACATATGGGGGTGAGTCAATAGAAATCAAGCAAATTTTTTAAAATAAAATTTTTTATAATTTTAAACAAGAATAACTTAACAAAAACTTAACCAGATTTAATAAAAAATTTTTTAACAAATTTGTAAAATTGATTTAAAAAATTTTTTACTAATTTGATTAAACTTTTATTAAGTTATTCTTGTTTAAAGTTTTAAAAAAGCTTATTAAAAAATATTTGCTTGGTTCTATTGACTCAAGCCCATATATATCTACATACATAAAATGTTATGTGTGGCTCGCATTATTTTAGGACACCCATGAGCGATGCATTTTTGAAATGATCCAATTGCGAAATAACGTTCATTCAAGTTATTTCGAGATTTTATGTAAAAATAATAATTACTAACCTCCTTAGGTGTTAATTGATTGCCAAATTCATCAACATACTCTAAATTGATATCTGGCTTATAATCCTTAAATCTCGCTTCCATTTCTCTAAGATGCTCACGATCACGATAACTACTGTCACTATCTCGTCCACCCCCTCCTCCACGGTAGCCCTTTTCTTTAGCTCTCTGTTTTTCGCGTTCCCTTTCAGTTTGCCTTTCAAGATCCCTTCTGCGTTGTTCAGCAAGCCATTTTTGTCTCTCTTTTTGAATACGCTCTTTATCGAGCTGCTCTTCAGATGGTTTAATTGAGAACCCTGTATAGAAGTACAATTAATAATTATAAAATGTAAGTTTATTAAAAATGCTGGTGAAATTAAACTGAAATGGTGAAAATAATGTCACCTTTATTTGCAAATTTGGTGAAATTAATTTCACTAGAATCTCTAAGACTTATTAAATAAATAAATCTATAATGTACCTTTTTGTTGCAAGAGAGCTAATGTCGCTGCCATTCCGGTACTAACCAATGGTTCTTCTTCGACTACACCAACCTTGAGAAATAAAAATTATGTTTAGATCATTTTGTAACAAACTCCTTATATATTATACACGTTTGAAACATGGAAATATTACTTACTAGTTTTGGTTCCTCATTAACGTTGGCCATATCCTGGTCTTCAACTTGACCAGCTGTCTTCCAGCCACCATTTTCGTCTTCTTCAACAGCCTCTTCCATTGCAACATCGTTAGTCTCAGCTTCTTCCGGTTTTTCATCTTCAAGTTGATCATTAAGTCGATTATCGGGTGTTAGACTTTCAGCTTCTGTAAGTTTTGTTACTGTTGAAGCTATTGCCAGAGATCGAACAAATTCTGATGTATCTGATATCACCAATCCATTATCAGGCCCATCATCGTCTTCTTCCTGTGTTTCTCGTTCTTGTGTCACTGTATATGTGGATAATACATTTTAATATTAATAAATAAATAAATGAATAAAAGACCAACTAAAATATTTGAAGAGATGCACACAAGTTCTTGCAATTTCTTCTACAGAAGCTTTTGCTACTTTTTTTGCAGCCATTTTTCTCGCTCTAGCTAGAGCTTGTTGGAGATCATCGTCATCAACAAAGCTCACATCATCCAGATTTTCTCGTCTTCTAACTTGTATGGTTGTATTGGATGAAGTTGATTCTACTTCCATAGCATCGGGGTCATTTGTTTTGTTTTCCTCTACCAATGAATCATCAGTTATAGCCTTCTGTCTGACTTTTTTCTTCTTTTTGACCTAGTATGCGTGAACCTGTTGGTTAATTTGGTTAATAAAAATGTGGCGTTTATTTCAATAAACCATTACAGCTATATACATACTTTAGGCTTCTTGAAAGTAACCTCTGCTTCTTCTTTAGTGTAATAATCCTGAATCTCTTTCATTTCTATATATCAAAGTAAATCCAATATTTCACTTAAATTTATAAACTTAATATACCAACAAAAAAATTAGCCTAAAAATATTAACATACTATCAAAAGTCAGAGAAATAGCATTTGACTTTAATTTTTCCGATACTTGGTTTCGTATATCATCTTCACTCAATTTAACCGTGCCATCATTATTTAGCATAAATCCCTAAAATATATATAATAAACGCTTGAGAAACTGTTCAAATTGTCGAAATCTATCAAGTGCAAAAGAAGTAAAAGCATAAATACAGGTCGTTTATTTTTCTCTATTTCTTCATCGTAATGTGCTAAAATGCTTTTTTTAGTTACGCCACCCCCAAAATTAAATTCTTCATCGTCATAGCCAGTATAAACTGGTTTTTTCTTTTTGTTTTCTAAGTTCTTTTTAAGTCTTTGCTGTTCCTCTAGTTGTATTGAAACCAATTGATCTCCATCCTCTGTAAAGATTTTTTTTAGTTTTGCATTTTCGATTTTACAAAATAAAAAAAGGATCGCATATAAATTATTACCTTCATTTTCAAGTATAGATGAATCTTTTAAAACTAAAATACGCTCTTCTCCATCTTGAAACTCTGATATGTCGTGAACAACTTGCATTTTAAACTGAATATTAGGGTGTTCTTAAAATCGGTACGTAAATCAAACCATAATTTATTATTGAGTGATGTTTATGAATAGGATCTACCAATCAGATAAGTCAAAATGTGATTATTGCGAATTTCATATGGGCCGATTTGAGAATCGACCAGGGCGGCCCCCCCAAAGTGCGGATCGATGGCGCAGCCACAGCCGCAGCTCATGATCTACCAATCATATCGTACCGTACAACGATAATCGATATCAATTTTTTCAACGTCGAACCTTTCAACGAACACTTACTAAAGATTTATTATATACATGTGT